GAATGAGAATAGAGTTTTATTCCTTTTTTTCTGATTAGGATTGGGTTCCTGGTTCCTTCTAATGTCTTTCACTCCCAGTAACCCCTTGTGTCTTTGTTGTATTATCACCTTGTTTGGGAGTGAATCGATGAAAAAAATAATGTCCAAACAAGTTTTATTAAATTCAACAAACAGGGTCTGTCTGTTCAATTTTTTATTGTACTTTTCCAATTTTAGATTAAGATGTTGTATATCAAGATCAAAATTTTGGATAAATTGTTTGAAGTTCATATTTGTTCATTTTTTTTTTAAGGGAGGTTTTTAAGTTTATTTTTTGATTATATATAAAAACTATAAAAATGATATATTCTTTTTGATTATAAAAAGTAAAGGAAATAAAACATGTCAGGTTCGTAAATTTAAATTTTTTTAAAATTGATAGTCATTCCAGCATTTTATACCCAATGCAATTATGCATTTTTTGCACTAATTTGACCCATTTTTTGCTTTGAGAATTATGCATGTAGACATAGCACAGCTTGGTCTTCTAGACTTATTTGCAAATAAATACTCCAGGAAATCACATATTCTCATAAATCTTAGTAAATAGTAACCTCATGAATTTTAGAATTGCTAATTTGACTTGAATAATAAATTAATGAAGCATGTATCATTGTAGAAAGTTTAAATCCTCAATTGATGATATATCCAACATCCAGTGAAACAATTATGGTTGTTATTTAAAGGTTATGTCAAATTTAGCACAAGTGCTTTTCTTGACTACCTTGTCAAATAGTTCTTTTAGTTTTTCTTCTGAATTTGTTCTCAGTACAGTGTCATAACTGTTATTAATGGTCTCAAATGGAATTGGCAAACTAAATTCAAATCTCACAGAAGCAGTTTCTATTCATTTTAAATTAAATGCATTGAGAAAGGAATTAATCCACTCTTTCCTAAACTTTGATCCTTTGACGGATATCTTGACAAAATGTCTTGTCTTTGATAAATGATATAGAAGAGAGTGGGTGAGTGAACATTTGGGTAAACCACTCTCCCATAAATATCTTACCATCCAAGTAATAGCTGTAAAATGCTCTTCTCTCTATTGTCAATTTTAACCTATTCCATAGTAATAGTGAAATTATCTGTTTCTATACAAGAAATATTGAGTATTCATTGTGCAAACTGTATCATTGTCAGTTGAAATTTATAAAATCCTTCTCTTAAAGTTTTTCAGGATAGTAAGCTTCTTAAATTTACTGACTGTTATTGCTCTCTGTAGCATTGATGGGAGTTTCCTTCCAAACCTTTTGTTTAAGGTAGTGTGGAAAGATAGCATCTTGATTATATTATTTTCCTTGAAGCACTGCTTGAAAACAAAAGTGTATAAAGGCAGAATCATAATTAATAGACCAAGCTGTTGACTGTATAAAAGCAAATCTCAAAAGGAAAAAATCTTATCAAACAAATTCCTGTCCAACATGAATCAATATTTTATTTATTGCTCAAAATCAGTTATAACAAATTTAATATAGAAGATAAGGAAATTGAAAATAGAAGAAGCTGCTTTAGGGGTAGTTTTACTGAACATGGCAAAATGTTACAAAACCAAAAAAATTAACAAAAAAATCAAGTTGTGCTCTAAAATAGACTTATCAGATTAAGACTTTCATATGGATTTCTTGCATGGAACCAAAGAGAAATATCTAAACTGTCAGCTGTATACAAAGTATTGTACTAAATAACAGAAGCCACATTACTTGAAGATTTTCAACATCAGCAACAACTAAAATGGGTATTATGGTGATAGAGAAATAAATAAATAAAAATAAATAACAAAAGGATCAAATTTTCACCATCACTAAAAATGGATGGATAATAAAAATTGCCAGGCAAACTAAGCCATAGTTTGACCAACCAATCAGAAAGCTTTCACAACCAGGATGTAAGAAAAGTAATAAACAAATAATAAGGAAATCAAAATTTCCCCATTTATAAAAAGATAGTTCAACCAGCCAATTAGACTATGAGCCAATAAGAAGCAGAGCACACCTTTTCAAAGCAGCTCTATCGATGTGTATATAAACAAATGGAAAATCAACCAAAACTAATTTTGTTCACTCTCTGATGTTGCAGTCATCGTAACATACCCAGGGACAAAATGCAATATTTGCACAACTGGCTCCCAACATTACACAGCTACACCATCTTTGTTGCATACCTTCTTTCACTATATAGTTGAAAAGCAACTAGTACATTTGGATACATACATACATTCATACATATACATATATATATATATATATATATATATATGCTTCCTTCCAGACTCTCTATCTCTCTTATATGCCAGGACTTTTATACTTGAACTCTTGAAACTTCAACATTCACCTTATTTATTTTGTATTTATCAACACTCTGTGCATTTTCTTTTAATCATTACCAAGGCCATTATACATGCAAACCACTTATACTGATACTAGCAGCATGGCCCAGTGTTGCCCATGCTTGATTAAAAAAT